TCAATAAATGAGGCAAAGTATTTTGCTCTACCTAGGGATGTAACTGGTGCTTGCCATACGTCAGAGTGAACCAATTCTAGAACACTTTTGCCTCTAGAATTTGATGTGTTGAATTTCAACCGGTGCTTCTTACTTGTTATGCAATGCTCACACAAAGAAAGTTGTAACATCCCAAACTAGGGGTTAGTGACTAAATTGTAAAGTTTAAGAATTTGATGAATTAAGTAGAAGAATGGAATAATTCAATGATTTATTTGGAGATAATTCCTAAAAGTTGTTAGTAATTATTAAAGTAGATGAAGGGCAAAATGGTCATTGAACAAAGATAATATTAAATATTAATAAATGGGTATTATAATACATGAGATGTATGATTGAAGAGATAAGTTTTAGACTTATCTTCTTCATCTTCATCTTCTCTCAAACGTGAAGAGCCAAGCTTGCAAAGGTGAGTTTCTTTGTTAGTTGGTTATTTGCTAAATTTATGGTTGGGTTTTGATCATTAGATAATAACTAAGCTTAAGGAAAGCTTAAGTTATCTTAAGATTGAAAGATAAAGAAGTTATGAAAGATTAAAGAAAATGAGTTTTTAAAGGAAATTCTGGAAAAGAGTTAATAAGAGATTTTTAAGATGGAATTTGACTTGTCATCAATAAGAATAAGAGATTTATGAAGTTAGAAAAGATTTATAACAAATTTGAAAGTTTAGTAAGATTCTTAATTTTAAGAATCTTGATGAAATATGGAAGATAAATATGATTTATATGGACATAAGTTGGTTTCAATAATGATAGTTGAGTTTAAAGACATAATAGGGGATTAAAATAGAAGAATTGAATGAAGAATTGATGAATTTCGGGCTTGAAATACAATTTCTGGACAAGGTGCATCGATGCACATTCATAAGTGCATCGATGCATTCCTTTAAAAGAAGAACATCGAATGCCTTTGATGCATCGATGCATAGCTAATGCATCGATGCATCCTTTTAAAATAATAACATCGAATGCAATCAATGCATCGATGCATAAGGAGTGCATCAATGCATCCCATTAATAATAGAACATCAAATGCAATTAGTGCATCGATGCATAAGGTATGCATCGATGTATCTCATTAATAAGGAAACATCGAATTCATTTTATGCACCGATGCACAAGTACTGCATCGATGCATACCTTCATTGAAAGAGGAAATTGGCTTTTCTCTTAGCCTAAGAAGTGACAGTTTAGAATATATCAATTGGAATATTGATATGAATCTGTGTATTGTTATGTAGAGATAGAACGTGATCCGTTTCGGGACAATTGAGGAATTAGAATCGAATCAAAGCAAAGCTAAGGTGAGTGCAATTTATTTTGTACTTATTTTATTGAATTAACATTGGCTTGCGATGAGCCAGTGATGGAGTTACTATGGTAAGAAGTAACTTCTAAATTGTTATGTGATTACCATGTATGCATTAATACATAGAAATAGATGGATGCTATGTTATATGATTTATATGCTTAAGTGAAAATGCAACATATGATATATGTTATTTGACATGACATGCATGGTTACATGAAAGAAAGCTATGTGACTACATGTATATGTGAAAGAAGCTATAAGCTTATATGCACATGTGATATATGTGATATGAATTACATGAAATGATTTACGTGAATACATGTATATATAATACATGTGATATGATATGAGATATATGGTTACACATACATGTGGTATGTGACAGAAGAGAAAGAACAAGTGATACGAAATGTATAAATAAATGCCCATAGTATATGATACGAGAGCTATAGGTATAATTGGCATGCCAAGAGTCGAGGGTTTACCTATGTTGAAAGGAACATATGGATAGTTGCCGAAGATCTTTATGACCTCTGGATAGTTATCGGGGTTCTTTGTAACCTCTTGACAGGTCCTTCGGGACGAATACTGAATGAATGTTCGGTGCCCCATGAGGGAATTTATACGAGATGTGGTGACAGCATTAGTGCACAACCTCAATGTACTCACATACCTCTATTCTCAATAATATACATGGGCAATGAAATTGAAAGACAAATGAAAGTGAAAGTGATACAAGAAGGTAAGTTGCATGTGTGCATGACCTGATTGTATATTGTTATCATACAATAGATTCATGCATATTGATATATCATGATTCAATGATATGAATGCACATACATGAATTATATGATGTTTTGTGTGTTTCTGGTATAGTGATATATGTGTTATATGATGAGTATATGGTAAGTGGAAAGGATTATTGATAGTGTTTGCATATGTATGTCTTTTATTTATATGAAATGATATATGGTTATATTATATGTTTTATATGCCTTACTAAGTCTATGACTTAGCGTGTAAGTTATTTACACGTAGGTACCAAGAAACGAGAAGTGAAAGAATAGAAGTGGCAAAGACATTATCACTACTAAAAGATCAGATCAGAAGTATTTGACAAAGTATGTATTTGGTTATGTATAAAGTGTTGGCATGTAATAAGTCATTAAGTACGAGCACTCTGATAAAGTCTGTATTTTGTTTTAAATAAAGTTTTAAATTTCCCGGGATTTTTCTTAAGAGTCAAGGTTTGAAAAGTCAATGTGACACGTCGGACTCGTATCCGGGTCGGGTACGGGTTGGGGTGTTACAAAAGTGATACCTTTGTTAAGCCTGGAAGTAGCTTTTGCTCCACAAGGACTTTCATTCCTTGTTATGACATGTGTCCAAGTTTCTGATGCCATAGCATTGCCGAATCTGAATTACATGAGGCAACAGAGGCTTCTGCTTCTACCAAAGTCTCTCCCTTCAGCATGTACAAGTTTGCAGCTATTTTTCGCCTTTCAGCACCACAAGCGCTCCACGGAACACCTTCATGATTCCTTTCCATGTTTCAATCTTGCTTGCATTATTATCCAACAATCCGTAGGATAATAAATTTTTCTTCACGCCTTTCACGTGCCGCACATCTCGAACAACTTTAATTGTTCCGTCATACATCTTCAATTTGATGGTTCCCACGCCAACGATCTCTAAGGCATGATCATTGCAACTATAAACAGATCCTCCTGAGACAGATTCATAATGATGGAACCATTCTCTTCTTGAGGTCATGTGATATATTGCTCCTGAATCAATGAGTCATATATCTGCAAATCGTTTTCTTCCTTCCACGGTGGTTGAAGCTTCACAGCATAGAGCATCTCCATCATCTGAAGTGTTTGCGGTATTGCCTTGTGGATTGGAGTTTTTATTTAGACTCCAACAATCATTCTTCAAGTGACCCTTCTTTCCACAGTTGTAACACTTTAAATTCTTCTTGCTCCTCGACTTCGTTCTACCATTTTTGTGACTGCTGCTTTGGTCACGTTCTGTTGATCTCCCTCTCATCGTTGTCATCGTTGTCAACGCTTCTGCTTGTTGCAGATTTACTTGTATGTCGTCCTTGTTCTTACGCCGATTTTCTTCTTGTAGAACAGCAGCTGCAACATCATCAAAGACTAGACTAGTGACATTATTGTTTGTCAAGTTGATGATAAGTTGATCATACGAATCCGGTAGACTTTGAAGTAGAAGTTCAGCATGTTATTGTTCTCCTATTTTACAACTTAAGGATGTAAGCTGAGAAAATAAAGTATTCAGTGTATTTAAGTGCTCCGTCACTGAAGTAGATTCTGGCATACGGAGAGTGTACAATTTTCTCTTAAGGAAAATTTTATTGTGCAACGATGTGGCCTCGTACAATTTGGTGAGATGGTCCCATATCTCCTTAGTTGTCTTCTTCTCTTCGATGCTTGACAATACTTCATCTGCTAATGCTAGATGAAAGTTTGCCATAGCATTCCCGTCCATTTCGATCCATTTGTTGTCATATGTGAAATCCACTGGCCTTTCACTGATAGTTGTTAGACAACCGTCTTTCCTCAGGATGACCTTCATCTTCAATTTCCACAATGAGAAATTTCTCCCATTGAATTTTTCAATATCAAATTTCGTTGCCATAGCTTCTATTATTGATAGCTCTCACTATTTCACTATCGTGAATAGTTCTCTAGAACCTCAAAGAATGGGTAATACCTTCTTATTTTCTTATGTTGGAGGATCCACCTTTTGGTGGCAACCACAAAGACAATAAGCAGATATTACACACTCAAATCTGGCTCTGATACCAATTGTTGCGGAAGACGGCTATCGGATAGAGGAAAAACGCAACTGATAATTTGAGAAAATAAAAATGAAGATAAAAAAAGAGACACAAAATTTACGTAGAAAACCCCTAAATAAAATAGGGTAAAAATCACGGGCAACGGTAGAAGAATTTCACTATGAGAAAATAGGAATTACAACCTCTCTCGATCTACCAATGAGAAAACAATGATAATTCTCTCTAGATAAAAAGGAGAAAACAACTCTCAAGAAACTCTCTAAAATTTCTCTAGTATTGGAAGAAAGCTAGAATGCTTTGGGATGATTTTGAAGCTAAATGAGCTAGGGTATTTATAGTTGAAACCTAAGGACTAATTTGTAAATACCCTAAAGTTTAATGACTAAATTATGATTTAGCCATTATTCAAAAAATCAACAAAAACAACTCATTTTTGACTCCACCATTCAGTGCATTAATGCACCACTAAAAGCCATCGAAAGTGTTTTTGGCCATGGCTTTTAATTTTCAACAAATCTAAAATGCTAGAATCTCTTTGAGTTATCGGCTTCTCCATCAAATACATGGGTTTCTCTGGATTTTCAGGTGATAATTTATCAGGACCATCAACCTTTTCATCTATATTTTTTGTATCTTCATGAGCTTCAGGGGATGGGATGCAATTGAACCTTTACTATTTAGAACATGCTTGGCTTCCTGCTCAGATGGAGAGGGTGAAGCATTTGGCTTCTTGATTTTCTTCTTTAGACCCAAAGCATCTACTTCGACAGAACTCTCTTTGACAATATCATGTAATTCTCTTAGTTTTTCTCCATTTTCCGCACACTTATTCACTTTCGGAATGGATATCCTTATCAGCATCACCACCATATGTAACTGAATCACCATCAGTCGATGAAACTGATACATCTGTTGCTAATGGAGGTGATCTGAATTCCGAGACCTCGACTTCCAACTCAGAAGCTATGGAACAATTTGAAACAGGACGGTTAAGCCCATATGTACTGCACAAAAAACTAAAGTCTGATCTAGGCCTTTCATTTGGAGGTGGATTGAAATCATAGGGAACTGAATGCACCGTTCTTCCTTTAGGAGGAACCATTAGATTCCTATATATCCTGGAATATTTACTCATTTGATCTGAGACTGATTCAGTGTCCTCGGATGAAGATGTGTAGCAAGAATCATTGTTGTTTATTGAATCCATCACCATTTTGCCTTCATTTCTACCGATATCCATCCTTCCCTCCGGATCACGAGGATATCCCATCTTCTCTTCTATTGTGATCCCATCTGTTGCTCTTTCCGATGAGTTCATCCCCCTGTTGTGATTCGAGTCATTTAGTTCAACACGATCAACATCACTAGCTATGTTAGAGGAATTATGATGGTGGTGATCTCCTCCTCTATCTGATGAAAGGACAAAGTGTTAAATTATTCCATAAGATAACAAGATATACAGGGGAATTCTTGTGATTACCTGACTGCCATTTGAATCTTGGATCGGTTGGACCCTCCATAAAGCTTCTCTGAGTACAATAATAGTGGTTAAAGTGATCTCCATTTGAGTCTCGAGTTGAAAAAGTTCCGCGACAGAAGCTTTTGTGCCTGCAGTATTCCTTCTGGTTGGCTATCATGAATTGTTGCTGAAAACTATCTGCCATAAGATTGGGTTTTTCTTCGTATGGATGATAAGGAAGGTCAAAAGGATTCTCTTTAGGCAATGAAAATGAAGGTGCCGACCAGGGCATCTGTAATATTTCTTTGCACAGATCATTCGAAAGATTGCTTTTAGCAATCAGAATGGGAGGCAGATGACTAGGGAGAATAGCATCCGTGTTCATCACGCTTTTATCAACTGTCATATTCATCAACTTCTTCGCTCTACGTTTCGCCATTAAACTTTCTAGCCTTTGGTTTCTCTCAGACTCCGAAGTCCCGAGAACCATAGGATTGTTCTGATCATCTTTGGTCAATTTGACCGCCTTTTTACCGTCATCCTTCTCCTTATCCATAGTTTCTAGCTCTACCTGATCCCCACCATTAGGACCCCTTCCTGACTGTCCTTTAAAGCTATCACTCGGCAGATCATTTTCGATCTCGACATGGGAGGAACTCCCTCCATGATCCATCTATTCCTCCCTTTCTCATCGAAGACCGTCTTCGGATTTTCGTCCAAGAAATTAGGATTACTAAACAAACTAGCAAGACTGTAAGGACTTCTGGGAGAAAACATTTTCATTTCCTCACGAAACAAATTAGCAATACCATAAGGAGCTCTAGGAGAAAACCAGTCCATTTCCTCCCTTCCCGACTGTTCTTGAAAGCTATCACTCGATAGACAATTTGTATTATCAAGTGCACGATCATTTACAGTCTCTATATTGGAGGAATTCCCTACACGTTCAATGCTATTCCTCCCTTCCTTGTTGAAAACTGACTCCCGATTTTCGTCCAAGAAATTAGGATTACTAAACAAATTAGGAAGTCCATACGAACTTCTGGGAGAAAACATTTTCATTTCCTCAAAGAACAAATTAGCAATACCATAAGGAGTTCTAGGTGAAAACTTGTCCATTTCCTCCCTTCTCGACTGTTCTTGAGAGCTATCACTCGACAATAAATTCATATCAGAAAGTGCTCGATCATTTTCCATCTCTTTATTGGAGGAACTCCCTCCTGTTCCATGCCATTCCTCCATTCCTCGTCAAAAATCGACTTTGGATTTTCATCAAAGAAATTACGATCACTAAACAATCTAGCAAGACCGTAAGGACTTCTTGGTGAAAACATTTTCATTTCCTCACGAAACAAATTAGCAATACCATAAGGAGTTCTAGGTGAGAACTTGTCCATTTCCTCCCATCCCGACTGTTCTTGAAGCTATCACTCGACCACGAATTCATTTCAGCAAGTGCTCGATCATTTGCAGTCTCGATATTGGAGGAACTCCCTCCATGTTCCATGCCATTCCTCCCTTCCTCGTCGAAGATTGACTTTGAATTTTGGTCCGAGAAATTACTATCACTAAACAAACTAGCAAGACCATAAGGACTTCTAGGAGAAAACATTTTCATTTCCTCCTTAAACAGATTAGAAATACCAACGTGGCGTTTGGTTCGCTGGAATGTTTATGAGGGAATTGTAATCTGTGAAGGAATTGGAATCTGTGAAGGAATTGGAATCTGTAAGGAATTGGAATAAAATTTCATATTATGTTTGGTTGGCAGGAAATGGAATTGGAATCCAATTTCATATTCTGTTTGTTTCATAGACATGTTAGATGAATTTGATTTCAGTAATATAAAATAACAGAATTGCCCTTCTTGTTTTTTTTGCTTTATTTTAGTTTGTTTTACAACTTACATGTAGTAATATATTATAAAAAATTAAAAAATATTAAAATTTTATTTTATTGATTGATTATTCATTTCAATAAATTATAAAAATCATGCTAATAAACATCATAAGTTAAAATCATCGCAATCAAAATATGTTAATAAGTTACCAAAAGATAGAGTAATATTTCGATACATTCCAATCGAAGTATGTTAATTAGTTACAAAAAAATATACCAAAAACTATTTTTATTCAATATATGAATTAGAAATCCGACGCAACACGACATAAAATAATAAAAAATTATTTTTATTCAATAAAAACATTGACTTAACTTAATTGAAAATAATTATATATAGAGGGGTATTATTGTAATTATTCCTAAATATATAAGGTATAATTATATATTTTTTTGGGTTGGTCCGGTTTTTTTCACCCTAAACCCGAACCTAACCCGACCCGAATAGCACACTTAAAAAAACCCGACCCGAATAGCACACTTAAAAAAACCCGACCCGAATATCACACTTAAAAAAACCCGACCCGAATATCACACTTAAAAAACCCGACCCGAACAAAATAAAGTTTCACCCGACCCGACCCGAATATATAATTAGAAATCCGACCCGACCCGAAATAATAAAAAAATATTTTTTTTCAATAAAAACAGTGACTTAATTGAAAAAAATATATATAGAAAGGTATTATTGTAATTATTCCTAAATATATAAGGTAAAATTATATATATTTTTGGGTCGGATATTTTTTCACCCTAAACCCGAACTCGACCCGATCCGAATATCACACTTAAAAAAACCGACCTGACCCGACTAAAATAAAGTTTCACCCGACCCGACCCGGATATATGAATTAGAAACCCGACCCAACCCGAAATAATAAAAAAAATATTTTTATTCAATATATGAATAAGTTACCAAAAGATTGATGAGGGTAGTATGGTCAAATTTCAATTTCCTCCAACAAGAGAATTGAATTCCATCCATTTTTGGATGAAATTCGCTTTCCCTCATTTGATATAAAGTTGAAGTCACGAGAGATTCTAATTCCCTTGGAAAGCTTGAACCAAACATGAGAAAGTGGTAGAATTGGATTTCAATTTCCCCCAATTATAAGGGATTTCATCCAACCAAAGGAGTTCTTGGAGACAACCTGTTCATTTCCTCCCTTCTTGACTGTCGTTGAAAGGTATCACTAAACCGAGACTTCATACCACGAAGTGCTCCATCATTTTTTGTCTTAATATTGAAGGAACTCATTCCATGTTCCATGTTATTCCTCCCTTTCTCGTCCAATACTGACTCCGGATTTTCGTCCAAGAAATTAGGATCATTAAACAAATTTGCAAGACCATAAGGACTTCTAGGAGAAAACATGTTCATTTCCTCCCTTCCTGACTGTCGTTGAAAGCCATCATTAAACCGCGACTTCGTAATTGTTCGATCATTTTTTGTCCTAATATTGAAGGAACTCCCTCCATGTTCCATGCTATTCCTCCCTTTCTCGTCGAAGACCGACTCCGTATTTTCGTCCAAGAAATTAGGATCACTAAACAAACTAGCAAGACCATAAGGACTTGTAGGAGAAAACATTTTCATTTCCTCACGAAACAAGCTAGCAATACGATAAGGACTTGTAGGAGAAAAACTGTTCAATTCCTCGCTATCTTTTCTATCCCATTCTAGAATCTCCATTCGAGCATTTCGTCCAACACTTTTCTGATTTCTATGAAGGCTTGTTTGATCTATTTACATCAACATTTGATTTCTTCTCACTGTTCTTGCTCTTAATCCATATGGATTCAGGGTGCTTGGTTTTCAAATAAAATCTAATGGAAACGAAAGTGCAGACAATAATAGGAGAAGAACACAGCAGATAGTAGGAAAACATGTGTACAGGAAGAAAACAAAGACAAGAGAACCTGACACAACTGGATATTTCCTTACATATGCATAACAACAAATTCCAGAAACTGTAAAATTTTTCCAAAAAAGATGTTGAATGCCCTTTACATCAATACTCATTTTGTTTAATCTACAGAAAGCAAGACATGAAACAAACCAAATGAGTGAAGAATTCAACTCCAAACCTGCATTTAAGACATGAGAAGAATCATTTCCCTTTTGTTCAGTTGAAACAGAAAAAAAATGTAGAAGAAAGGTCAATGGATGTGGGGTTTTCATCCTCATCTTTTTGGTGGATAGCTCTTGTCCAATCCTTGGATTTAGGACTTCCTCTGCCATTCTTTTGCTTGATTCATGGGACAATGTATGACAAATACCAAAAAAATTAGTATGGAAGGAAATGGCGGTTAATATTGAAGTCTATTTTTAGTCATATGTCCTTTTATTATTTGCACCGTTTCATCAATAGTCATAATATTTTAAATTAGCAAAGTTCGGCCGAAATTAATAATAAATTTTGATTCTACATCCATCAAGATCTAAATACTTTTTAATTTATTTTTAAATTAAAATGAACCAATAAATATGCCATAATATTTAAAAATGTCGTATCATATTTTAAATAGATCATTTTCCAATAATTTCATTTTAAAAAGCATATACTAAATATAGGAATGAAAATGCACAGTGTGGTATAGTACAAGGACTTAGATAGGCATTTTGCACTTATATGCAATACTTGTGATACCAAAGGAATTCGATAAGGAACATAATTGTGTTGTTGGCTTATCTTCTTTCTCATCGCTCGCACCCCAAATCCAAACAACTCAAAAATGGCGACTTCAGCTGCAACACTTTCCTTCTTCTCATCCTCCCTTTTCCTCTCTTCTCCCTCCGCAAAGCTCCCAGCTTTCCTTCCCCTCTCTTCTAAATCCTCTACATCAAAACCCATCCTCTCGATTTCTTCTCAGCTTTCCACTCTCCCCATTTTATCCTTCACCGGAGAGAAAGTCGGCGAAACCTATCTCGACCTCAAGTCCGCTCATCCCGAAACTGCTCGAGCCGTCGTTCACCGAGCAATCATCACCGACCTTCAAAACAAGCGTCGCGGCACCGCCTCCACACTCACCCGCAGTGAAGTTAGTGGTGGTGGGAAAAAGCCTTATCCCCAGAAGAAAACCGGACGGGCACGTCGTGGGTCTATGCGCACTCCGCTCCGTCCCGGCGGTGGTGTTATCTTTGGACCGAAACCCAGAGACTGGTCGATTAAAATCAACAAGAAGGAGAAAAGATTGGCGATTTCGACGGCATTATCCAGTGCAGCTGAGAACACGATAGTCGTGGAAGATTTCGCGGATAAATTCGAGAAGCCGAAGACGAAAGATTTTATCGATGCGTTGAAGAGGTGGGGATTGGACCCAAAGCAGAAATCTATGTTTCTGATGATGGATGTGCCTGAAAATGTGGATAAATCGAGTCGGAATATCGGGACTTTGAGAATGTTGACTCCCAGGACACTTAATCTGTTCGACATTCTGAATTGCGATAATCTAGTGCTGACTCCGGATACGGTGGAGTATCTGAATGGAAGATACGGAGAAGAGTATGAAGGCGAAACTGAGGATGAAGAAGAAGGTGCTGAAGGTACATCTCTTTTTAATTAGTATTATTAGAAAATTGTTGTTAGTAATGGTACTATTATTGTCATCGTTCGTTGCATTACATTTTGATGTGATATGTGAACTTTTAGGTGA